ATTGAGACCCTTTGCTACTGGATTCTCAACCACATGTGGGTGCAGGGCCAGCTGTTCTGTGTCTCTACTCTTCCAGTTTCAATGTGGCTTCTCTATATCCTTGGTTAAAAAGACTAGTCTTCAGATGGTTTTCCAGGTTGACTGTCCATAATTCACTTGTAATTTTGATGTGGACATGTGAGGAGGTGAGTATAGCTTCCACCTACTTTTCATCTTGGGAAACATCAAAATTAATGAATTTTTGTGCAGCCATTTTTAATATTGAAGATGGAAGAAAATACACATTATTGGCATATTATGCTGTATTATTTTAAGAAAGGTAAAAATGCAACTGAAATGCAAAAAGATTTATGTAGTACATGGAGAAGCTGCTATGACTGATCAAACATGTCAAAAGTAGCTTGTGAAGTTTCTTGGTACTATTGACATTTTGACCAAATAATTTTTTGCTGTGGGGCTGTCATATGCACTGGAAGATGTTTAGCAGCACCCTGGCCTCTGCCCACTAGAAGGCAGTAGCGGGAGATAGCTGGCACAACTCAAAATATCCATATCAGTAAAGTTGCTGGTGAAAATGAAAAATGTGTTTTTCATTTATGGAAGAAACTAAATGGGTGTTTTGGCCAACCCAGCAGCTCAGTTGTTGTTTAGAGCATTGTCCTCATATGCCAAGAATTGAGAGTTCCATCCCTGGGCAGGGCACATAAAACAAAAACAACTAATAAATGCATAAATAAGTGGAATATATCAATGTCCCTCTCTTTTTCTCAAATCAATCAATAAAAAGTGTAATGTTTTTTAAATATATCTTACTGATTATGCTATTACAGTTGTCCCATTTTCCCTTCTTCACTCCCCTCTACCCTGCATACCCCCTCCCACCCACATTCCCCCCTTTTAGTTCATGTCCATGTGTCACACTTACAAGTTCTTTAGCTTCTGTATTTCCCATATTTTCTTGCCCTCCTCCTATTTTCTACCTGCCTTCTATACTACTTATTCCCTATACCTTTTCCCCTTCTCCCCCCTTCCCCCTGTCCTGTTGCTAACTCTCCATGTGATCTCCATTTCTGTGGTTGTGTTCCTGTTCTCGTTTGCTTAGTTTGTTTTTGTTTTTGTTTTAGGTGTGGTTAATAATTATGAGTTTTCTGTCATTTTATAGTACATGTTTTTTATCTTCTTTTTCTTAGATAAGTCCCTTTAACATTTCTCACATAATAAGGGCTTGGTGATGATGAACTCCTTTAACTTGACCTTACTTGAGAAGCACTTTATCTGCCCTTCCATTCTAAATGAAAACTTTGCTGGATAGAGCAATCTTGGATGTAGGTCCTTGCTTTTCATGACTTAGAATACTTCTTTCCAGTCCCTTCTTGCCTGTAAGGTCTCTTTTGAGAAATTAGCTGACAGTCTTATGGGAACTCCTTTGTAGGTAACTGCCTCTGTATCTCATGCTGTTTCTAGGATTCTCTCCTTCATTTTAATCTTGGCTAATGTAATTATGGTATGCCTTGGTGTGTTCCTCGTTGGGTACAACAACTTTGGGACTCTCTGAGCTTCCTGAACTTCCTGGAAGTCTATTTCCTTTGGCAGATTGGGGAAGTTCTCCTTTATTATTTGTTCAAATAACTTTTCCACTTGTTACTCTTCCTTTTCTCCTTCTGGTACCCCTATAATTTGGATGTTGGGATGTTTAAAGATATCCTGGAGGTTCCTAAGCCTCTCAGTTTTTTGAATTCTTGTTTCTTCTTTTCTGGTTGGATGTTTCTTCCTTCTGGTCCACTCCATTGATTTGAGTCCCAGTTTCCTTCCCAACACTATCGGTTCCCTGTACATTTTTCCTTTATTTCACTTAACGTAGCCTTCATTTTTTTTTTTTTTCATCTAATTTGTGACCAAATTCAACCAATTGTGTGAGCATCCTGATTACCAGTGTTTTGAACTGTACATCTGATAGGTTGGCCATCTCTTCATCGCTTAGTTGTATTTTTTCTGGAGCTTTGATCTGTTCTTTTCCTTTGGACCATTTTGTCGTCTTGGTGTGCCTGTTATGTAGTGAGGGGCGGAGCCTTAGGTGTTCACCAGGGTAGGGCCACCCATGTTGCTGGGTTGTGTGGGGCAGGGGTCTGAGAGAGAACAGTGGCGCTGGCTCCGCTCTCTGCCAGATTTCAGTCATTTCCCTCGCTTCCCTCCAAGCAAATTGGGCCCTTCTAGCGCCAGTTTCCCCAGTGGGTGGGTTTGTGTACATTCTAGGACCCTGTGGATCTTTCCAACGAACTCTCCTCTGAGGTTGGGAGTTTCTCCTGGCACCTCAACCCCCACAGGTGTTTTCAGTTGGTGTTTTGAGGCTTTATTTCCTGGCCCCGGGACCCTGGGTTGTGTAGTCTGTCTCGCTCCCTGGTTTTGCCTGGTTTATCTGCCTGTGAATATGGTGCCATCTGGTCTGCCAGCTGTGCTGTGTCCCTCCACAGTCTGCCACCTTGCTGGGTCTACCCACTCCAGCCTTGCATGCCTGGGATCCCCTTGCACGCCTGGGGTCTGCAAGCCTCCGCTTTTTTTGCTGCAAACCCCTCTCCTCCTGGCTCCTAACGCCACCCCTCCTACCAGTCTGGATGAGTGTGTCTACTTTAACTCCTTGGTTGTCAGACTTCCATACAGCTCAGTTTTCTGTCAGTACTGGCTGTTTTTTGTTTCTAAATTGTTGTCCTTATTTTGGTTGTGCAAGGAGGCACAATGTCTACCTACACCTCCATGTTGGCCCTGTTTTTATTGTTTGTTTGTTTGTGGTTTTTTTTAAAGAAACATCTTCCTCCTTACTTCATTTAATTCTTTGTCATTGGTTTTCTATAGCTCTTTGAGCATATTTTTAAAGACCATATTCTTTGTCTTATATGGTCTCTGTTTCCTTCAGTTCAAATGTCTTGATTAACTTGCCTCTTTCTTGATTCATTGTTTACTTGGTTGCTACAAACCTTTGACTATTTCCCAGTTGGGCTTTTTTTCTTTCCCCCAGTTTTTAAAAAGATTTTATTTATTTAGTTTTAGGGAAAGGGAGGGGAAAGTGAAAGAGGGAAACAACAGTGTGTGGTTGCCTCTCATACTCCTCCAATTGGGGACCTGGCCCGCAACCCAGGCACGTGCCCTGGCTGGGAATCAAACCAGCAACCCACCTTTGAGTTTGCAGGCTGGTGCTCAATCCACTGAGCCACACCTGCTAGGTCGATTTCCCAGAGTTTTTACAAAGTTGATTCTGGCCAGGATTTGTGTGTGTGTGTGTGTGTGTGTGTGTGTGTGTGTGTGTGTGTGTGTGTTTCTGTTAAAGAACATTTTTGCTGATGGCACTCTCTGCCTGTGCTTCTTTTTTTTAAGACTGGAGTTTTGGAGAATGGGTATTAAATGGTATTTAATAAGATGGACTGTTATGCTTTATTTATGAGGATAAGCAGTTCTCATCAGATTGCTATCATTTGTCCAGTGGATAAGATCCACAGTATAAGAAGGGATTGGCATACAGTCCTTTCATCATGAAGAAGAAAAGAGCTATATTGAATACAGGAAGGTTATGGAGTGGATGTAAAAGTCCCAAGTAGTTGGGTTGAGTAAAAGAATTTTCTCCCACTAATTTAATGTTGTAATACTTGATAGTGGGTGTTCAGTGTTTCCCTTTGAAAAAAATTCTGTAATGCAGCCACAATCTATATTTCAAAGCCCTTGACTAGTCTTAAGACATGGTTTTTAGATCTAGGTCTGCTTAGCTAGCTTTGTGATCTTGAGCAAGTTATCTTCTTTGCCTTTAAGTTACTTTATAAGTAAAGCTCATTGGATTGTACTTAGAACTAGATAGTCTTTAGGATAAAGCCACATGTGAGATATTTGGGTATTAAATAGATGTGGATGTTTTCATATGTGTGATTGTAGTTTTATAGGATATATTCCTAGTAGTTGAAATAAATGTGAAAAGGTGTGTACATTTAAATTTTTGATATTACCAAATTGCCCTTGTTAGAGGTTTTCCCGTTGCACATGTGGCCATGTGTATTAGAGTCTGTTTTCCTACGGCCTTGCTAATATACAGTGTGTTTTCAAGCATTTGGATCGTTGCCAGAATGATAGGGTAACAGTAGTATCACACTACCATTTTCATTTCTCTTGTTAAGAATAGATTGAGCTTTGCTATTGTCCATATTTTTGAAAGTCATGTGTTTTTACTGAGCTTTCATTTTTCTATTTGGGTTGTTAGACTTCAATTATAATGCAACTTGCCATGCAGAAAATTATTTTATGTTTATGTAGTCAGATGTATAAGTCTTAAGATGTGAAATTTTGTGCTATTCTTAGAAAGGCCTTTTCCATTCTGAGATTATTAAAAGAATCTTGTATAATAAAATAGGCTCACTTTTAAAACACTGACTTATATAGATGCAATTAATAAGCTACTCTAGGTTTGAAAGCAAATTCCTAAGTTTTTATTATCTCTTTTGCAGATAGGGGTGACCCCTACCTTACCTCATTCTCCCTTTAAAGTATGGGAAAAAATAGGTAACAAGAATCAAGAGAAGGCATTCCCATTATGGACTTTCTTGGTTATTAAAACATTTAGATCTATGGCTTTCTCATTCCTCTGTACTTGTAGTCATTTTTCTGGGACCACTCTTTTAGTTTAGGTTCTTTTGTCTTAGATCTAAAGATTAGAATTTCATGAATTGAATTACTTTGTTATGTTTTACATACTTTTTTTTAGCATTCCACATTTTAGTAGATAAACAATATAAAATTACTATTTTGCAAAATGAAGGTGTTTCTTTAGAGATGGCAATAAGATAAGTTTTCTCTGATTTTTCTCTAATTCTGTTTCTATTTTTTGTTTTAAAAGATGAGGGGTTTTTTCCATGGGAAAAAAAGGTGTATCTCTCCTTGACTGAATTTACAGTAGTAGATATACAAAGATGGTTTTAGATATACTGTAAACTTAAAAAAGAATGGTATATGTTTTCATGTAGATCCCAAGGAAGAGAAAGAGGAAGAAGACGATTCGATCCTCCCTCAGGAAGTTTCCATTGCTACAACCAGGCCTAGCCGGGGCTGGCGCAGTAGCAGCAGGACATCTGTCTCGCGGCATCGTGACACAGAGAACACCCGAAGCTCCAGGTCCAAGACTGGTTCACTGCAGCTCATCTGCAAGTCAGAGCCAAATACAGATCAGCTTGATTATGGTATGGTGAAAACAGAACAGTTAAGAACCAGTTGCCTGTTGCTTTTAAACATAATGTTGAACATTTACGAAAAAAGCTTAACTGTTTGGGTAGGTGTGCTGAAATAAATAGGAAGGGCTCTTTTTTTGACAATTTGTAGACAACCTTTTGTGTGATTACCTTGGGCGATAATTTGGTCTCTTAGGTGCACAGAGAAAATATAGCTACATAGGTAATGTTTTGTTTGGCTTTATTTTTTCCAGAAGTTGTAGAAGAACATCAATCTACAGGTGGCATTAGGTAAGGAACATTTCATATTTAAACTCTTGGGGACATAGAGCACAATCACATTGAATTACAGTTTTTTTCTACTTTAAAGAAAATTTAGCTGTAACAGAAATTAACTTCAGTTTGATATTTAGTTTACATTCCAAATTGTACTTCATTAGAGCATTAACCGTGTAATCCTTAGTCATGTCTTAAGCATATTCTGTGTTTTGGTCAATTTCATGCTAGGCATTAATAGGAAATGTAGGTATTTAGACCAGGTTTTTGAAATTTTATCAACATCTTTTATGATAAGTCACATGATTATTTTGGATCTGTTGATAGGTCTTTTTTGATACATCAGGTTATTACATACTGTATTATAAAGTCAGTTGATTTTTAATTATTCACGCCATTGAGCTGTCATCACCTTGCCTTTATTTAACAAAGTGGTGACATTGGATTTTGAGTTCCAGTTATTCTTTAGGAAAAGGAGCTAGATTGCAATTCAACTGGATTACAAATATAAAAATTTTTGATGACTTACTGTGAATCTTTGTGTACCCCCCAGAAAATTACCTAATAATATGCAATACATGTTTTGGCAGCACATATACTAAAATTAGAAAATTCCCTCAGATATAATTGTTACACTAGAATTTCTAATCTTCATTTGCTTTTTAGTAGTGATGAGGAGGAGGAGGAAGAAGAGATGTTAATCAGTGAAGAGGAAATACCATTTAAAGATGACCCAAGAGATGAGACCTACAAACCCCACTTAGAAAGGTATGTCTCATTTTACTCTAGACATGTCAGTGAAAACCAGTTTGGAAAGCACTGTTGCATGTTTTTATTTCCCCTTGTTGCCAAACTACTAGTGGGTATAGACTTAATTTTAAGTGGATAATTACTTACACGCTTATTTTGCAAATTTAACATCTTATTATCCCTGGTACAGCCCTCTCCTCCATTATGAACTTTATTTTGATCATACCCATATTATCATTATATCTGCATGTTTTATCATAATAAGATAGGAATTGCCTGAATGCTTGGAATTTTCTATTTTTATCTGGTTTCTCTTTACAACTATAGAGAGAATTCATTTTAAGGCATCATTAGCCTCGAGTCATCTCATAGGCTTGAAATATCAATAAATTGATGTTAACCCCAGGCTTTACCTTGTTGTCAAGTTTTCCTTGAAAAGGATACTTTGCTAGATACCAGTGTTGAAATGTATTTGTGTTTTCAGGGAAACTCCAAAGCCCCGGAGAAAATCCGGGAAGGTGAAAGAAGAGAAAGAGAAGAAAGAGATTAAAGTGGAAGTAGAGGTAGAGGTGAAAGAAGAAGAAAATGAAATTAGGGAAGATGAAGAACCTCCTAGGAAGTAAGTGGGCATTACTAAAAATGGAAAGTTAACATTTTGAAGCCATTAGTGGAAAAAAGTGTGGGAGTGTGAACTGGGATTTGATGTATACATACACAGTGGGGCAGAGTAGGTTTACATTTGCTCTGAAAATACTACAATAATTAATAAGTAATAATACAATAATAAACTTTCACATATAGCTGTACACCTATTTTTGCCCCTCCCTGTCTTTGTGTCTCAAGTAGCTGACATTTGTATTGCAGGCACTCCTCAAATGCTTGAAAAGTTTAATTCAAGGCAGTATTAGAGACACATAAATGAATGGGTAAGGCAGTAGGTAGGTAAAGGGATGAAGAAGGGATAGAACAGCAAGCAAAGAATATGGCAAGTGTGGATTGTCAAAAAAGGGCAGATAAGGCAAATGTACTATATTTTGCCATGTATAATGCGCACCCACATTTTTGTTCAAACTTAAAAGGAAAAAATCTTCCATTTTAATTTTTTAATGTGATTTTTTATTTATTTATATTTAGATACTTGTTTTTTGTATTATTTTGGAGTTCTAGCATTTATTTCTGAACATATAGATATTGTTACAGCTTTCTAGAGTTATACTTTTAATTCATAAGCATAAGTAAAATAATTAAAAACATTTATATAGGTATGGAATTAGTACTACCCATGTATAATATGCATCCTTATTTTTCTTTCAAAAATTTGGGCAAAAAAAATTGCACATTATACATGGCAAAATATGGTAATGACCTTGACCAGGTGAAAAAACTTTCTGTCTAGAAACCATTTCTCATATTTTTTTAAGGTTAAGGTTTTTTGGTTCTATTACACCTAGATTATAGTTTATATTTTAGGGGTCTTAGATAATAGCCTTTCATTCTACTTTTTAAATTGAGATTTAAGCAGTAGACTTTTCACTGAAACAACTCTTCATGTAGTAACTGAGGTTTATCTAAATCTTCCATAGTACTGTATAGTTTATGAATGGTATATATTTGATTTGTGATATAGACTTACTTGAAAGTAAAATTAGTTCAGAGTGAAATCTTTAGTTTGCCAGTTATGTATGTGACTTCATGTATTCTGGGTTATCCTTTGTTTCTGCCACCTGCTCTTTGGTCTTGAGTATATACGAGGTCTGTCCAGAGGTATGCAGCCATATAATATGAAAAATAGAGACATTTATTGAAGAAGATAAAAAAACACATGAAACACTGTACATAGGACAATCACGCCTCAGTCCCCTTCAAAGTAGGCACCTTGGGACCTCACACAGTTCTCTCAATCTCCAGCAGCTGCCTTGTCATATTTTCCTGATTCTCATTGACAGTCTGAAATCTCTTCCCTTTGAAAGGTGATTTTAGTTTTGGGAAAAGCCAGAAGTCACAAGGCGCCAAATCTGGGTTTTAGGGGGGCTGAGTCACCTGGGTGATTTGATATTTTGCCAAAAACCCTGCATAAGAAGTGATGCATGAGTGGGCGCATTGTTGTGATAAAGCTACCAATCACCAGTTGCCCATAGCTGGCCTTCTGCATCTGAATAGTTTTCACCAGGGAATATTCAAGCTTAACACAAAATGTGATAGGGATTCGTTACTCTACTCATTCAGTCATTTTGAATGCAACGGCCACACAGTACACCTATTCACTCAGTGGTATCTGCTACCCCCACTAACTAGTACAGTGAAGTCATCATTGTTCACACATGTACATCCCAGTCCACTCTCCTTGGCTGCCAGGTTCCATCCATATCCAGCAAACTGTTTGCATTATATTAACTGGCTGGACTTTTTCCAGACAGGCCTTGTATGTCTTCTGCCATCCTTTACTCAATAAGCTTCAATCCAGAATATTTGAAAAATTTACTCTTTTTTAATTATAGGAGAGGAAGAAGGCGAAAAGATGACAAAAGTCCACGATTACCCAAAAGGAGGTAAGAATTTATACTTCTATGTTGTTTCAGGTGGTAGGCACTTTACTTAAATATGTAGTAATAATAATACTGCAGGAAGGGACAAAAGTAACTTTGTCAATGTCCTTGATGCAAAGTTACTGTGTTTATTTCTTTGGCAGGATCTAAATGTTTCTAAAAAATCTTAGTACTACTTTACCTTTTGAGAGTTACTAGTTTACTTTGTATTATTTTTTATAAACATTATTAAACATTTTGCAAATTCCGGTTAACTTCTAACAACTTAATGTGCAAACTATATAATAGTGTGAAGTTACTATTCGCTAATAGTGCAGTTTCAGTTAAAGGTCACTGGGCAGACTGCTTCTTTTCTGTTGCTGACTTTTTTCCTGCATGCTGATAATAGGAAAAAGCCTCCAATCCAGTATGTGCGTTGTGAAATGGAAGGATGTGGAACTGTTCTTGCTCACCCTCGCTATTTGCAGGTCAGTAAAATTGTTATGTAAGGCAGTTTTTCAGGTTGTGTACCATTACTAGTTCTCAAGCTTCATGAGACTTTATAATATGTGAATTTGTGTGGGTTAAGAAAAGAAATAAAAGTATCCAAGAACCCAAGGCCAAACAGGATTTCCTTGGAATATTGGAAAATTCCAGTGTTTCCTATTGTGGTATAATAATACTTCTGCTATGAGATGATTGTAACAACACACGAAGACACAGATGAATAGGTTTTTAAAGTGTGTATTTAAAAAAAAATAAAATTAGTAACTCAAACCAGGGATTTCTTGAATACTGTTTAAAATAAATTTTAAAACTTTAAAATGAGTAGATTTTTTTAATGTGAGTGAAGATACAGCTTATGTTTAGGTCTCACAGAAAACATGAAAGTGAAACATTAATAACTAAAGCTGACTGATATTTAGCAGCAAGTGTAACATGAGATGCAGGCCTTACTTTCTGATTCTGGCTGTGTTATAATAGTAATAGCTAGTGTTCCTGTGCTATATACCATTTGCTGCACTAAGCACCATACAGTATGATCTCTAGATTTCCCACAATATTAAGAGACAGGTGATCTCCATTTTACAAATGAGAACTGGAGCTTACAGTATTTCAATTCATATCTCCTGAGATCACACTGCTTGTAAATGACAGGCCCAGATTGGAATCCAAGGTTATTTCCATAGCTTGTGTTCTTACTTAACTAGTGGATTATATTGCCTCTCTATCCATATACAAAGTATTTGATTTTCCCTCAGTGCTTTTGACTTAGCAGAGGAACATATCTAGGAGGCCTTAAATTTTAACCCTCTTTGCTTTCTTCAACTGTTTCAGCACCACATTAAATATCAGCATTTGCTGAAGAAGAAATACGTATGTCCCCATCCCTCTTGCGGGCGACTCTTCAGGCTCCAGAAGCAACTTCTGCGACATGCCAAACATCATACCGGTACTTTCAAAATAAAATATTTTATCAAATAGATAAATGCATTATACTTTTAGGTGTAGGTTGGTAATGATACATTTTTTTCTAACATAAATCTTCAGAGTCTACAGTCAAGTGTGAAACACAGAAAAGTAAAATGTATGACATAAATTTTACAAGGGATGAACAAACCAGGGCTTTTGATTCTTTTTCCTTTATATCTGTGAGAACTTTTATGACCTGGATGATGATCTTTTGTTGAGCGAATATTGTGTGTCAACTGTGGACCAAACACTTTACATATGAGGTTTGTCCCAGAAGGTGTCCAGCCATATAATATGAAAAGTACAGGCATTTATTGAAAAAGATAAAAAACCCTGGCTGGCTTAGCTCAGTGGATTGAGCGTGGGCTGCGAACCAAAGTGTCCCAGGTTTGATTCCCAGCCAGGGTACATGCCTGGGTTGCAGGCCATAACCCCCAGCAACCGCACATTGATGTTTCTCTCTCTCTCTCTCTCTCTATCTCCCTCCCTTCCCTCTCTAAAAATAAATAAATACAATTTAAAAAAAAATTTAGAAATACATGTTTAAAAAAAAAAGAAGAAAAAGATAAAAAACACAAGAAACATTGTATGTAGGACAATGACACTTCAGTCCCCTTCAAAGTAGGCAACTTGGGACTTCACACAGTTCTCCCCGTTGCCAGCAGTCTGAAATTTCTTCTTCCCTTTGAAAGGTGATTTTAGTTTGGGAAAAGCCAGAAGTCACAGGGCACCAAATCAGGGCTGTAGGGGGGCTGAGTCACCTGGGTGATTTGATGTTTTACAAAAATCCTGCACGAGATGTGATACATGAGTGGGCATATTATTGTAATAAAGCTGCCAATCACCAGTTGCCCATAGCTGTGGCCTTCTGCGTCTGAATAGTTTTCATGGAGGAATATTCAAGCTTCATACAAAATGTGATGTAGATTTGTTGCTCTACTTGGTCAGTCATTTTGAATGCAACGGCCACACACTACACATGCTCACTTCGTGGCATCTACTGTCCCCACTGACTAGTACAATGAAGTCATTGTTCTTCACCCATGTACATTCCAGTCCACTCTCCTTGGCTGCCAGGTTGCATCTATGTTGAGCAAACTATTCTCGTTGTATTAACAATGGCTGGACTTTTTTCCGACAGACATTTTGTATATTGTTGCATATCCATCCATTCAGCATAACTAAGTTTGCTGTGTTGGTTTTATTTTGCAGCCAAGAAACCAGAAGTTTAGCAACATTAAGTAACTTACTTATGTTCACACAGCTAATTTTTGGCAAAACCAAGATTTTCTAGTTCTGCTTCAGAACTAGAAACAGAAGGTTATAGATTAGGAGTGAGAAGTAGGAAGAAGAAGCCTAAATGGTGAAGAGGTTAGCTTGTAGTTTATGGTAACCACTAAATGGCTCCTGGGACATCTGCTGCTGTCGAAGTCGTAAGCGCTAGCTATTAAACTCACATGTAAGCTCCTGCAGGAGAAATTGACGCAAAAAGAGAAACCAGATGTCTTAGTAATTCAAATTACAGAATGAATTCAAATTCTGTTCATTTTTAGCCATTGACAATTTCAGGGCAGTGTAGCTAATAGGAACAATTTGGGCTGGATATTAGAGCTAATCTAGTATGTGCCAGACACTTGATTGTTCCGTGCTACCTTCTCAATAGTTGTAGCCCTAAGACTAGGAATTGCAGTGACAGAAATGCCACGTCTCCTGCCCAGGGTCATACTGATTGATACATGTACCCTTTGCATCATTTACCATATGTGCAACTTAAGCAAGTTTCTTAACTTTTTCCCTTCTTACTTTCCTCATCTGTAAAATAAGAATATTAATGACACCAGTATTACAAGGATGAAATAATACATAATGTCTTATCACATAGGGCCTGCCATAATGGTAGATTTTCGAGAAACATCAGGATTTGAATTTAGGTCTCTTTCATTCCAAAGTCTACAGTCTTTGCATTGTGCTATGTTTCTTCAGAAGAATGTTATCTGTACTCTGTTTCTTGCTAGGTGCTGCCATTTCCCCACTCTTCATCCTGTGAGACTGTCTTGTCCAAAAGAAAACTACTTTCTGATAACCAGTTTAGACTGTTTAAGCTAAATATTACAAGCCTGCTGTGACTAACTGTTTTAGAAATTCAGTATATTTCAAATACTTATATTTGGTTAATACAATTCTGTGATGTCAGTGTAGGGTTTTCCTTTTCCAAATTAGTATATACAGGCTCTCTTTGAAAATATAATTAATTTATACAAATGGATACTCCGTTCTTGTTTGTGATACTACAGTGGAGCTGGACAAGTGGAGACCTGGGAGATACTGAGTTGTCTCTGGGTTAGAACTGTGTTTTTTTATATTACTACTCATTGTATAGAAAATAGCCTGGTAAGTATTAGTGGCATCACTTGAGCTCTTGTTGGAGATACAGAATCTCATGCCCTGCTTCAAACCTGCTGAATCAGCATCTGCGTTTAACAGGATGCCCAGGTGATAGTTCTAAGTACATTTAAGCTTGAGAAAAACTTGGCTGTTCTCCCATACTTAGTTTTAAAAGTGTTTGGGTTTGAGTATGGAATTAATTTATTTGCCTTTTAACTTTCACTGTGTTTGTAATAATTTTAAGGGAAAGGCATAGAAAATGTAGTGTTCCTTCATTCAACAAATGATATTAAGCATCTTTTTGTCCACTCTTGTGAACCAAGTGATAAGGAATAATTAAGTACAGTGCTCCTTTGCCACATAGATTCCACACTATGTTACCAAATTCTTCAAAATTCCTGTGAAATTTGGGGGTTGTGAAATGAAAGAGGGGAGGTAGTTGAATGGTATAGAAGATGCAGGGTAGGGGAGAACAAGGTAAATTACAGGTACTGTGCAGTGTATTTGATAGCAGCAACTTGAATGTTTTGAGAGAGGTGTGAATTGTTTATCTTGGGTCACATTTTTAAAGAATAAAATCCATGGGAAATGTAGTTTGCTTGCCAAGCAATTTATGCAAAATCTGGATTACTGATAAGATTAGGATTTTAGTTCTTGTCTATTTCTATCCAGTTTTTTAAAAAATAGATCTTTATGCTACTGAATGTTAGTAGCAAAAATGAAAAAAAAATCCTGTATATTCTTGATTTTTTTGTTTATCCAGTGTTTATACATTGAAAACAGTATTGCTTTTACTCTGAATAGACCTACCTAATCTGTTTATTGTAAAGTAGGGAAAAAAATACTGAGAGGGATTCTGAGTGGAACACTAACCATATTATTTTTTTTCTTAGATCAAAGGGATTATATTTGTGAATACTGTGCTCGGGCCTTCAAGAGTTCTCACAATCTGGCAGTGCACCGGATGATTCATACAGGCGAGAAGCCGTTACAGTGAGTATTTATTTATTGGTGAACATCTAGGTGCAAAGGACCATCTATCCCTCTTGAGAGTTAATCCCTTTACAAAAATCTCAGCTGCCACTATTCTTTACTTTTACCAAATTAGAGTGGGTATTGTTTAAGGGAGCCAATTAGTGGACTTTTTCTTGTTTCTTCTGTCTTCTAAACAAACAGAAGAAAAAAATCAGATTAGTGTTCATCTGGTAACTTTTCCTAGTCTTTCACAAGTATATGCTACTGACCATTGTCTGTTTGTGACCTCTTAAGTTCTCACCCTGACTCTGAATGAGAATTCTTTCTCTATCTGATCAGCCATTTCCTCTTCTACTCTCCTTAGATGCGAGATCTGTGGATTCACTTGTCGGCAAAAAGCATCCCTTAATTGGCACATGAAGAAGCATGACGCAGACTCCTTCTACCAGTTCTCTTGCAATATCTGTGGCAAAAAATTTGAGAAGAAGGACAGCGTAGTGGCACACAAAGCAAAAAGCCACCCTGAGGTGCTGATTGCCGAAGCTCTGGCTGCCAACGCAGGCGCCCTCATCACCAGCACAGATATCCTGGGCACTAACCCAGAGTCCCTGACACAACCTGCAGATGGTCAGGGTCTTCCTCTTCTTCCTGAGCCCTTGGGAAACTCCACCTCTGGAGAGTGCCTCCTGCTAGAGGCCGAAGGGATGTCAAAGTCATACTGTAGTGGGACAGAACGGGTGAGCCTGATGGCTGATGGGAAGATCTTTGTGGGAAACAGCAGCAGTGGGGGCACTGAAGGGCTGGTCATGAACTCAGATATACTCGGTGCTACCACAGAGGTTCTGATTGAAGATTCAGACTCTACTGGACCTTAGTAGAAGGGAAGACTTTAGGCACTGGGACAGCTCAGACTTTGTACTTAAAAGATAAAAAGGACAAAAAAAAAAATTTAAAGCATTTAAGATCTAGTGAAATAACTGAAGGGCCTGCTCTTTCCAATGTGGATCACAGCACACACACACATACACACACACACCCTCCCTCCCTCCCCCCTCTCCTGACCCCTTTATAAAATTGATGTTGCCTTTATCAGAAAAGTAGACAAAAAATAAGCTCTTAAAGTGAGGGTGATCCTCATGCTCAGTTCCAGCCAGGCAGACTTCCTGCTCATTAGCAGATCCCCTTTTCCAACCTATAATTCTTACATGCTTTGGATCAGCTTTTAACTCTGAGTAGTATATACTGTCCTATAAGTCCCTTCTCCTCCTTTACTGCTGCCCTATGGTCTGGCTTCTACCCATTGCAGCACACTTATCCTCAAAGTATCATCTACTTCTAATCTCTGGAGGCTGGCAGCTTGACTTGGCACTTTAGAGCCCCTTAGCAGGGTGAGCTGTTAAAACAGCACACACCTCTCACCCCCCTTTCCTCCGTTCCTCACTGGGTTTTTGAAAGGAAGGATACATGGGGACCACTTCGACCCCAGCACCTCAGTCCTCCTCCCAACACCTCCATATGGTTCTCAGTGGTGCTCACTTGCTTGGAAGCAGGCTCCCAGCAGGGAGGGGGCTGCCCTCTACATGGTCTCTGACCATAGCACAGGGCTGTGTATCAGTAAGACAAAAAAGTCCCAGTCTAATGGCAGAAATTTGCACTTTGAACATGTGTGTTTTTGTGTTGTGGAACCTGAGATTCCTTATTTATTAACGGAAAGTCTGATTTTTTTTTTTTTTTTTTTTTTGTCTTTGTTGCTATATTTTGTGGGGCTGGGAGAGATTAGATTATTCTGACATGGGGTCCTTTTCCATAAGAGGTACTTTTGAAGGTAAGATAGATATAGGGTTGAAGAAGCACAGCCAGCCTCTAAAATCATAGCTCTCCAGTGGCCTTTAAGCTGGTCCTCAGCACTAATAAAATCACTACAGTAGCTTAGTGCTTTTTTGGAAGGCTTTTTAGGGAAGAATGTTAGATTTATGGTAATTAGTGCTCTGTGAATTTTTAAAGCATTGAGATTTAAGAATTTTGAGGGGATGAAGATGGTTCAGGGTCTGAATTACAGATAAAAGATTTTCTCTTGCAAATTTGTTTTTGTTTTTATTTTGTTCCCATCATTTCTTTACACACGCCTCCCTGTTGGCCCAACTCTGGCCCCTTGCTGTGTTTTTGTTTTTGCTTTGCTTAATCATTGGTTCATTCCAGCTCCCGATTAGTGAAGGACACTGCCATTAGTGAAGGAATAGTCTAGGAGTCGTACAGTTTTAATTCAAAGAAAACTGCTCTGTTATGTTTCCCTTTCAGTAACACCTGGGAAGAGGAAAGCCTTCAATAGACAACATTAATAATAAAATAATTGCTTTGGCTTCCACCTGAAATCTTGGGATTTACCTCTTCCCTTGCGATAGGGATTTTCATGGGATGGATCGCTTCTTACTGTCCATGAAAGAGACTGGTATAAGTTCATAACTCCCAGAAGACAAAAAGCCTATTTCGGCTCATTTTTAGGGAGTTTCTGCCCTGCGTACCTCAGAAGCTGGAATTCGTGGCTTGCCCTATGCATTGTTTGTCAGAAATGCACGACGGCTGTTGGAAAGAATGATGTTCTGCTGAGAACAAAATAAGGAACAGCTTGTTTTTCACAAACACTAAAACTACAAAGTGTGTTAATTTTCTCTGGTTTTGTTTTTTTCCCCAAGAAGAGGGGTAACAAAATGTCATCTCTGAAAGAGGCGTACTTTACACCCACTAGTGTCAGTGGTTGGGATGCCAGGAATCGGGATTGCAACACCTACAGTGAACGGTCTTCAATGCCCTATTGTTTCTTTTCAGAGTGTTGCAGATTTGCCGTCCCTCCAATGTAGGGGTAGAAAATGGAATAAAGATAGAAGGGATGTAGAATATGCTCTCCTGCCCACAGTAAGGATTTGGAGTTGACTTTGGTATGTTGATTAGATCTGAAAATACTCCATGACTGATTGGACGGGTCTACAACAAAGTTGGTTTCCCGCCCCATGTAAGTCCCTTCTGTACTGTTTCACTAGCTAGCATCTGTTCCCGAAATTTACCTTTGTGTTTGGCACACTTATTTTATCCTTTGTGTCCATAAATTACAGTTTTGGAAGTTAGTTATGAGATATTTTAGCCACGTACTCAAAAGCAAACTGCATAAAAAACTATAAGATAGAGGGAAATATGTTCTTCCCTGTCACACTCCTTTCCCCGCCAAAGACAACTAGTTAGTTCTAATAAATAAAATTGTTATTTCTCCCCCCTTTTGTCCCCTTAATAGCTACCTTTTACCTACAATTTACTCCAATAAATTATTGCAGTTTGTGATAAATTTTAAATATTTTCTATGAACTTTTTGTTTTTCCTTTTGAGAAAGGGATGCTAGCGTATGAAAGAGCTGGTGTAAGTAAAATGACTTATTCTGGGCCTTCTTCCCTTTTTCCTTCCTGCTCCTCATGCTGTTATTTCATTGTCCTTCCAAGGAGCTCTTAATCTTAACACTGCATTTCCTACTCTTAATCAAATTCTGTTACCACTTTTTCCTACTACATGTTCTCCATTGTGAATTGGCAATTCTAGATTCTGAAAAGGTAGAGATACAAGCATTATTTCTGTGCTTCCCCCTTGTTTGATTGACCAGGGTTATTTTACGTAATTGAGACGTAATATGCTTCAGAGAATTTAGATAAACACTGGCCAGGATGACTGGGAGTAAAAAATATATATATATTACGGTATGGAAAAGCATCCACATAGAGCACTTGAACCTCCTTTGTACCTATTTGGAGAAAAAAATATAAAGAATGTATTAAACCTGAGGTTATTACAGTCTGGTTGTTTGAAATACCATTTTTCTCTCCTGTCTTTTTCCCACTTTCCAATGTACTCAAAAAAATTAAAAAATTGTAATGGATCAATTTAAAATATTTTATTTCCTAAAAGCCTTTTTGCCTATTGTAATGTGCAGGACCCTTCTCCTTTGATGGGAGAGACAGGTAGTTACCTGAATCTAGGTTGAAAAAAGTTATGTAAAAAGAAATTATAATAAAAGGGATACTCTGCTTTTCAAATTCTTGTTTTCTCTTAATCTAGGTAAGGCATATCCAAAATGAATATGTAAAGAAGAAAAATAAAAGTTGTCTTCATGGAAGCAACTGGCCTTCCTTGGTTGTACTGAGTTATGGTTGTCCTAAGGTTAAACAATGAATTGATGCTGCTGCTAAATAAGAAAACCAAGTGCCCTCAGCGCAGGTTTTGTGTGGCAGGTACTGGTGTTCGTTCTTGTTCAGAATCAGGTAGTAACTTTGGACTGTTCAGTTCTTGACTTCCAGTGCTGAGATGCTGTATGATCCTGGGATCAGTTGGCAAAGTACTAACTTAAAAGAAAAAAAATAGAATCCTTCTACCTTCTTGAAAGGCCTACTGTGGCATCCACCCAGGCCTCACTTCTTTCTCCCTTACATTCCTCCTTCATTGTTTACCTGTGGAAATTTGCCCTTGAGAAGACATGTATTTCAATTTAGAGGCAGTGTCTGATATGAAATAGTAAAGTTAATTGATTCATTTGAACTTGAAACTTGCAACTCCTTCCCAATTAGCACCATCCTTTAACCTATGGAATAAGTGAAAATATGCTGGAGTAGCAACTCTCCAAGTGGTTTTAAACTCTTCTGCCCTCATTTCAAAGCCCAACTCATCCTCTTAATTTGCTGAAGAGCATATTGTCACTTGAGGAAGACTGCCTCAGAAATGTTACCAAGTCAGGGCTGGGTGTTTCCTGTCCTTTGGAAAAGAAAGGCCTAAACAGTACCTTCCTCATCCTCTAGGTGCAAGGAAGGCATGATGATTGAAATTAGAGATGCTTCCTTAGCTGATTTTTAATGAAATGTAAATTAAATACATAGCAAAAGGATGGGAGTAAAAGGAAGCTATATTTTTAAAGGAGGTTTTTCACATAAACTTTGTTTCTTGAACAAAATGTGATTTAGACAATAAAATTGGGAAGTCAGTGGGAGAAACAGCTGTAGAATTAAATTTTGAGCCTTGTTATTGGGTTTTGTACACATTTAATTTTTTATGTAAGACATGAGAAATAATACCTCACAGTTTTTCTGAAGATCAAGTAAAGGCTTTAAAGCCTTGAGCAGTGTCTGGCTCAGGTTAGGTGCTTAATAAAGGGCAGGTGTATCAATAATAGAAATGTAATACTGACTACTTTGCAGGGCCGCAAGAGGAAAGGACATGGGGAGCACAGGGGAGGGCGATTAGATAGAGTGATTATATGTGTATATAAAGTACATTACATAGGCAGGGGTGTCATGAGGATTGGTGTGATAGTGACCTTGTTGCTAAGTGCAGAAGCAAAACACTGACTTAAAAACAAGTACATCAGGCACTCGGTGGAGAAGAGAGATGGAGGCAGACGCTGCAGGGGAAAAAAACTGAGTAAAAGGGGCCTTTGATTCCATGGGCACAAAAGTCCACAGCCAGGAATTTGCTGCAACCTCTGAGTCAGGCGGGGTGTGGGGGTGGGGTACACCATTCCATTAGTAGAGAATTCCCAGTGGATTTTTTCTGAGAGTCACATTTCTTATTAGGACCAGTGTAGACAGAAACAAACTCCGCTCACTTGTTTCTTGGGACAGTTGAGTTAGGGGATGGCTTTTGCAGAGCATTCACCGCTGACCCCTCACCGCCGGGACCTCTGTAGCCATTCTATCTGGCTAGCAAGGAAGATTCGTTCAGACCTGACCGCCCTTACGGAATCTTATGTAAGTTGCCTATTTTGCTGATGTCTGTTTTCTCTTCATCTCTTCTGATCCAACCCCTCACCATCATACTCCAGCCCATTATTAACTATGAAAGCCCTAATCATACAGTCAGTTGTATATTGGGCACATGTTACTTGACATGACCCCTTCCCTTCAGGAAACTCATGAGCTTTTTTTCTCGAAGTTTTTTAGGAGACATGTTTCTTGAGTAAGAAAATACACATGGGGTGCTAGGTAGGGTTGGCTGTTTGTCTTGGAGGCTGTTTCTAATTTGATAGCCTACAATCTGAATTCTACCCGAATAGATTAACCACGAGCCCTCTAAGTTTGGGTTCTTTATATACATTGTTCTGAATTTTTTAACTATGTAAATGAAAGGCAGAGTAAGGTTTATAGGATTGCGAAGGAGCAGTGTAGTTATAAACCAATTTCTCCTGTATGGGATTAGCCACCCAATTTTTAATTAAATACATCAAAAGTATTTCTGGGTCTAAATGGAAAGGTCACCTCTATCAAAAGGATTCCCTAGAAGATTCACTGAGGACTAGGGAAAGTTAACCTTTGGGTCCAGATTGGTTTTCTCATAGTGGAAGATTCTCATGAGTGTCTATATAATATCTGCTATGGAAACACTCCAGACCCGGTGGAGAGTATGTTTGCACAGCCCCACCAGTCAGAAATCAGACTCTGAAGTGCCAGTTTTTTAAAAGTATTTTCCACTGAATTCTCTAAAGTAGCACTCCCTAACCTTTTTAGCACCGGGGACCAGTTTCATGGAAGACAATTTTCCCGCTTACAGGGGTGGAGGGGGTTGTGGTGGAAGGGTATGGAGCTCAGGCAGTAATGTGAGTGATGGGGAGCGGGGTGAAGCTACGCTCCTGGCTTCCACTCACCTCCTGCTGTGCCCCCTGGTTCCTAACAGGCCAGGGATCTGTTGCGGGGTTGGGGACCCCTCTAAAGGATTGTCCTCACTACTGAGAATGGGCAATGGAGGCAAGGATGATTAGAAAAATTATACAATGGCTACCTTCTAGGGCTTCTAGGTATGGCCAGGATCTTCAAGTATGTTTCAAAAAATACTTAAAACTTCAGTATGATTAAAATACTTTAGGAGGGAGTTTGAAGTGGGAAGAAGTTATCCCAGACCAGTAGTTTTGAACCTTTAGAACTTAATGAAAGCTGCAGATGGTCCCAAGAAACATGAACAGTAGTCAAAGCCTTGTGTACAGGGACAGTAGGGTCTTCCTAAAGTCCAATCATAGACCCCAAATCAAGAATTTCTGCTCTAGCCCTGGCTGGTGTGGCTCAGTGAATTGAGTGCTGGCTTACAAACCAAAGAGTCACCAGCTCGATTCCCAGTCAGGCACATGCAGGGTTGTGGGCTAGGTCCCCAGTAGGGGGCATGTGAGAGGCAACCACACATTGATGTTTCTCCTTCCTGTCTCTCCAAAAATAAATAATCAAAATCTTTTTTTAAAAAAAAGTTTCTGCTCTAGACTTCATTTTATTTATAACTTGGATCCATAACCAGAGAGGTGAATAAGATTTTTAAGTGAGATTTAGGTGTTATTTAGAATGTTGGGGTGATGGCAGAAGGTGTGATGTTTTTCTGTGTTCTCGGCCAGGTGAAGCATCAGGGCCTGAACGAGAACATAAGCCTGGATTCCGTGAGCGGTGTGCCAGTGGCAAGCACTGATCAGTGGAGTGAGCTGACTGAGGCCGAGCGACTCCAGGAGAACCTCCAAGCTTATCGTACCTTCCACGCCATGTTGACCAGGCTTTTAGAAGACCAACGGGTGCATTTTACTCCAGCTGAAGGTGACTTCCATCAAGCAATACATACGCTTCTACTCCAAGTTGCTGCCTTTGCTTACCAGCTGGAGGAATTAATGGCACTCCTGGAGCACAAGATCCCCGCCAGTGAGGCTGACGGGGTGCCCGTTATTGCTGGAGATGGTGGTCTATTTGAAAAGAAGCTGTGGGGCCTGAAGGTGCTGCAGGAGCTTTCAAAGTGAACAGTGAGGTCCATCCATGACCTTCGCGTCATTTCTTTTCGTCAGACCGGGATCTCAGCACACGGAAGCCACTATATTGCTAAGGACAAGAAACTGTAGCAGTTACCCATCTCTTTCAGTGGAATCTATGTGGTTCTCTGAGCTCTCACTTTTCCATTCTTAAGGTTTTGACAGTCTTTAAAACCACAGGCATTGTCATCAAGTAGGGTTGGAGAGGAGGACGAATGGGCATACAGGGTTAGTTGGTGAGGCGGGGACGGGGGTTGTTGGGGCCGTAAGGGGGTGGGGGCAGGGGCAACACTGTTCTGCCTCAGTGCTTGTACGTTTTCTACCCTCTAAGTAACCTCTGCAGACACTTAACAGCCTCACGGGATAAGTATGTTTTTAACTCTAGTCCCGGAAGTTTCTTCTGAGAGGACTATAACAGGGAATTAAAAACCATGGACTCTATTCAGTTTAAACTCTTGGGTAATTAAAAACAGTAACTAACGTTGATTATCTACCATGTTGGAGCAGTACGCCAGGGCCTTTGTGTCTGTTACAATTTTCACAACCCTGTTCACGGAAGGTGGCGCTATTTCCATTTGGCAGATGACATGACAGGCTCACAGAAACATAACTTGTTCAAGATTACCCACCTAGCAAATGGCACACTGGGTGTGAACCCAGGCCGTTCTTGTTTTACAGCCTAGGTGCCCTCTACTCCGGAGGCCTGCCCGAGAATCCCCCACCGCAGCTCCTTGCCGCAGGGGGCTGGGGAATGGACCCTGCAGTCTGTCCCTGGCGCCGAGGAGGAAGAAAACCTGACAGTGGTCTCGCTTATCCGCGGTTTCACGTTCCACCGTTTTCAGTTGCCCGTGGTCAACCATGGCACAAAAATAGTAAAGGAAAAGTGCTAGAAATAAGCAATTGGTAAGTTTTAAATTGCTTACTATCCTGAGTACTGGAATGAAATCTCAGGCAGTCCTGCTCCATCCCACCCAGGACAGGTATCCTTTGTCCAGAGTAGCTGTGCTGTATCCACTACCCACCCATTGGTCACTTCGCCCTTTCAGCTAGCAGTATGACATTTATTAGAGTATGTTGTCATAACTGTTTTATTCTTAGTGATTGTTACTTGCAGGGTTATGTACCATCTGCAGTTTCAGGCAACCTCTGGGGGTCTTGGACTGTGTCCCCCACGGATAAAGGAGGACTACTGCACATGTCCTGCAGGGCAACGTTTTAGGGGTCAGAAGTAGTGTTTGTTGTTGACGCTTGGCAAGGAAGAGAGCCATGGAGATCTTAAGAGTCAGCTTGTGGAAAAGATGAGGCCCACCAAACTGCTCAACTCAGGAAGCGGTGGGTGTGCAGTGGTACATTGTGCTTCAAAGTGTCCACTAATGTCCCTGAGTTTGGGGCTGGGCAGAGCCCATACGGGGTTACCATGTATGTGTTGTAATCAGCCGTGCTGTGACACAGCCCCTGTAGCCCAGGCGCTCACGAACGGTGGATGGAATACGGCTCAGGTGAAAAGGTCACAGAACTCGCTCACACACATTCTCCGGACTTAGTCATGAGGAGAGAGTGGGCCCGCTCTGTTCCCAGTGAGGAAGCCACCGGCGCTAAAACGATACGCAGTAAAGCCTCCATGCTTCACGACTAGGGGCAGAGCTCGGTGCTTAATGTTCTTGAGAAACGGCATGTAAAGCGCCAGCCAACAAATGAGAGCATTGACAGAAAAGTTCACTTGCAGTTATTAACTAGTACAAATGTGCATCCGGAAGTTCTCAGGTGTATCATTTCATACCACCAGTTAGTTAAGACTCAAGACCTTGGACTGGGGGCCCCAGATCAATTTTGTTTACTTATTTGAGGCTTTTGTATTCCTCAATGAGCCACGAGTCGGAGCTAGCCCCCAGGTTACATGAGATGGGATGGGTGGCTTAGCTTGTGACCTCTCCCACGCGGGTCACATCCAAAACTCCATGAAGTCAATATTAAGAGAAGACTGGGTAGAAGTTAGGACAACACAGAGGAAGCAAGGCCCAGCTCTCTAGTATGGAAACAAGGTTGTATGCATATGAGACCACACTAGGCTGGAAATAACAGGCACAGTTTTAAATGTTACAGAGTTGGAGGAGCGCTATGAGGACCAGAGAGCACTTCTTTCTGGAGGAGGGGTGAGCTGTGTCCTGGTGGCTGGATGAATACCAAGTCAACAGGAATCCTGAGAGAAACAGGAATGAGTTGCCTGGGTAAAGAGTAAGGCAATGATACCCCTAGAAAACCAGCTGCTCCTAAGGTTTGGCTTTATTTCATTTGTGATTTTGGTGTGGGCGCATAGTTCCCCCCGTGAGTGCATACACAGGCTTATTTAATTCAAGCTTTTATTTAAATTGTTTCATCTGTTTAAGAGCAGCACTTTTAGTTAATAAAGTTCCGTTTATTAATGTGGCATTCTTTATAGTGTTCAGGCTCTTTGTTTAATGGAGAAAGATGACTAAAATTTCTTAATGGAGAATACATAACTGATTACAAACTTGCTAAATCTTAAAAGCCATGGTCCCTCTCCAGATGCTTTGTTTTTATATTCAGATGTTGCAGCACAGACACCTGCAGAAGTTTCAGAGACCAGTGGGGCATGGCGCCAGCGCTGCCTAGTTGCGTGTGAAGGGATGTTTATGCATAAGAGGCACATTTAAAGTGGCAGAGGGTCCAGAGAGGATACAAGTACTAACCACTGACTGGGAAATAAGTTAGTGTATGCCCAGCACTGTGCTGAGCTGTGTGCATCAGGTTCTTCAAGAAACTTGTAATATGTCTTAAAAGAAGTGTGGGGAGACTCCTCAGAAAAAGATAAAGGAAGGGGGAAATGAGCACTTAGTTATAATAATAGAGACATAAACATGGACGGCTCTCTGTGTAGACATTGCATCATGCTTATCTAAAACGCATGACACAGAATGAAGACGGGATTGACATTAGGCCAGTGCTGTAGGTACATATATATACTGGGAGGATATATATTTTTAATCAACCTCAATCCAGAAGAGATTTTTTATCTTTAAATTGTAGTTCTTTTGTTTCTTACACCTGTGTATGGGTAAGTTCTCTAGGGAATCATTTTCATATACATATAAACTATATAAACACAACTACATTATATATGTGTGTCTATAATAAATGCATAAATTTACTTTGCCCCTCACTCTTACTTTGTAAAGAGGATTCCTTCTATCCCTTTTTCTCCCAACACCCTCTTTCTGTGGGGAAAAAGAGTCTGTTTTCCTGAATCTGCCAAGGAGTTGAATGTGTGAGAGTTGATCAGTTCTTCTTGCATTGATTTAAGAGAGCGATTTGGAAAAGATTTGCAAATTAGCACAAACTCGAAGGCCAAGCATGGAATAAAATTAGCTTTAAGATAGGCTTGACGGAAGTGAGAGTTTTAATAAAAATGGAAAATGTTAAGTCATAGCCCTGGTATTGCTGTTATTTCAGGCTGCTGTGGATTACAGCCCAATGGATGACTCATTGTGGTGACCGCTGGTCACACCAGGAGGGGGTGAGAGGAGACCTATCTGAAAAGTTCAGGATGCCTTTTGTGAACCCTCACCTCGTGAAGTAGCTGAGCATGGGGTTGGAGGGGAGCTTCCATTGTGATGAGAAAGGGATTGGTAAAGAGAAAACGAAAAAAACCAATGCGGACACCACTTCAACCGATTTACTGTGCACACGTACACCTGTGTGTGGCCGGCAGGGTTTAGGCCAGACGTTGAAAAGAATGGCTGGGCTCCCTGCCTCCTCCCACCTCCGTTTGAAGCAGCAGACCCAAGAAGGAGCCCTCTGAATGTGGGCACGTTCAAAACATGAAAGGGATGAAAATTTCCTCCTAGAAAGCCCCAAGGCAGCGGTCTTCAACCGGTGCGCCACAAGAACTTTTAAACCATGCAGCACCTGACTGTTTCGTCAGGGGCACTGGCCTCTTTTCCCTTAGATTGTCAAATAAAAAAATGACAGCAGCCAAAACAACAGCCATCAGTGTCAATGAATCAAAATTATACCTATTTTTTGTCAGATTGGCAAAAAATATATTTTGGGGTATGCTGCGGGATTTTAGTAATTAGTTTATGTGTGCCATGAGATGAAAACGGTTGATAATCGCTGATCTAAGGTCTACAGATAGAGTAAAACCAAGATGATTCCTTCTCCAAGGGGCTTAAGAATGTCCCTCTTCAGGAAAGTGGCAGCTTGGAATAAAATCCAGCACGCCATGGGTATTCGGGGGAGAACGTAATGGAGTACTTTCCTTTGCTTTCCTACATGATGAATGTGTATGTGTGTGTGTGTGTGTGTGTGTGTGTGTGTGTAATATATATACACATATGTGTGTGTATATGTATGAAATTTAGTAGGTGAAATGTGTAGGGTGCAAGATAAAATCGACATGCATGTGATTTTTTAAAAAAATTTACTTATTTTTAGAGAGGGAAGGGAGGAAGAAAGAGAGAGAAACATCAATGTGCAGTTGCTGGGGGCCGTGACCTGCAACCCAGGCATGTGCCCTGACTGGGAATCAAACCTGCGACACTTTGGTTTGCAGCCCGCACTCAATCCACTGAGCTACGCCAGCCGGGGACATGCATGTGATTCTTAACGTTACTTGGCTCAATATGTCTTGCACAGATAGAAAACAAAAGATGCGAGAGTGGCCCACAATAAAGATCTCACCTCAGCAAGACCACGAATTGCTGCTTTTATTTTTGTATCTTTGGATGAACAAGGGGAATTTCAAGCGATTCCAGCATGGGGTGAAATGTAATCTTCCCATCCAGGCCCGGCTTAGTCCGGCATGCTCGGTGCATCTCGGCGATGCCAGGCCCCTGGGGAAATCTCCCGGGCCTGTCAGCCTAGAGAAGGGAGATTGCCTGCCCCTAGACACCCATCAGCTGGCTTGCCGCTGGGGAAGATTTCCTCTATTATGGTTTAATTCAAGTATTTGAACCCCAGTCTAGCCTTTGAAAGACAGAAGAACCCTGACTAGCTCATTTCTGGTCTGAGGGTAAAATCTGAGTTGTGGGAAGTCACACGGGGTAAATATGAAAAATTGCCAGAAGCGTGTATTTTTATCCACATGTTTAAGGTACTAGGGGATGGAATACTGCATTCATGTAGGTCAGGCATCTCCATACTATTTTATGTTGTCTAATCCTCTGAGATACAATGTCTCTTTCACAAGTAAGGGAAGTGAGAATGCACATTAACTGGCCCAAGTCCCCTCCTCGGGTGCTATATGAGAGGACCGGAGTTCTCCATTCCACCCCACTGCACAAGACACCAAATAATTGAGATCATCTACTGAAATTCACATTCGGGGCGGGGGCTGATCAAGTCAGTACAGACTTGTACCAAGTCTTCCTCTGTGGCAAACCCTATTAAGTTTCCAAACTTTGGGACAAATCACTTTTTCTGAGGAGTTCTGTAAGTATCTCAGAGAAATGCCAGGCACTTCCCAGGATGTATCTGGTCGCAGCCTAGACTTTGCCCTTCTACGTCTGTGGGCCTCTGGCCGCTAGAGGCTGACCCAGTCTCACACACAACCTTGAGGAATCAGGCGCCTCCCAGGAGGGTTGAGACTCAAGCTGTTCACTACACCCAGAAGACGGCCTTCACAGTAGGCGGGTCGGACGTGTTCTGCTGCAGCCTGCCAGGCTCCCCAGAGGGCCAAGGAAACATGCAAACCAAGGCACCACCCAGGACGTGTTAAAGCCCGTTTTGGGACATACACCCATCCCACTATACAGCAGCACCCTCCTGTTAATCCAGGAAGGAACTCGTATTTCATTTATTTCAATCCGATAATTAAACAGTGCACATACACACACACACACAAAAGGAAAAGAAAAGAAGAAAACATAGCACAGGGGAGCCAGATATCTTCGGTAATCTGCCCCAGTGTCCCAGCTGAAAAATAGAAGAATAAGAACAACTAGTCTGGGGCGTTCCCTCCCCACTGCATCGCCCCGCTTCTCTGTTAGACCAGCTTCATCTCGGGAAACTTCGAGTAGCTCTGTTTACGTTCTTTTTACTCTTCATCCAGTGCTCTCTAGCACCCTTACCTCCAGTTGGCCTTCGGGAGCTCTGGGCACAGCAACTTAGATAACCTGAACTTCACTTTAATCAAGATGCTAGAATTATTAACATTATGAAGGCTGAGGCATGAGGGAAGACTGATTCCTGTTCTGACTAGGTTGGGTACTTAAACTTTTTGAATTTTTCAGTCCTGCAGATAACTCCCTGAATACCTCCTAAAGGACTCATGTATCCAGACTTCTGGCATCCATTGTCCAGACTGCCCAACATCTGATGGATTACCATTCTGGACCAATCCTGGGACTAAGAAAGCAGGACTGGTTATTCTCAAGAAGGCACTTTTTACCCTAAGTACCTTTAACTTTTCTTCTTCAGAAAACTTCTGCGTTTTTGCCTAGCTGTGTTCCAAGTTTGCAAACTGTAAGACCCTTGCATAAATCTTTATCACTAATTTCTAGCCAAAGCCACCAAAGTCTTCTCAAGTTTTTTTGATACATACAGTTGACACTGTTTGTGTGGCATCTGAAGTGTTGTGGCATCTGAAGAACACTGCCCTTTCTCTCTGGGGCTGCCACTGGGTTCCACCAAGGGAACGGCTTGACTGCTGCAGTGTTCCAGTGGTCAGTTCCATTGGCTCCAAGCCTGCCTCCTTCGGCTGCGGTTCAGAGCTTTAATTCTTGGGTCCTCTGACACCAGTTTTTGCAACAGGGTGCTCTCTTTCTAAGTCTGTTTGTGGAGGAGCGACCCCATTCTACAGTGCCAGAGGGATTTACAGGCTACCCTCTGCTAAGAATTTTTGTCTTGATGGACTTTTCTGCTAAGGAGGGCAATTTGGAATGACAGTGGCTGCTCGGGGTATCTTTTGAGATTCTGAAATTAATATATTTGCATGCACAGTTGGAAAACACTTCTCATTTAGAGGGCCCTAAAAAGCCAATGGTTCAAAGATAGCCTCCCCTCAAGAAACAACTTTGAAACTAGGTAAAGCCAATTCTAAATTAAAGAAGAATCTGAAGTCACTTCTTATTCTGAAACTTCCTCAGCCAAATAAGAAAACAATTTCATAAGGGCGGACATAGTCATAAATCCTATAAACCTGTTTTTCAGGCCCACCCCAACCCTCTTCCGCAAACTAACTTAGCTTGCAGGTAAACAAACTACCTAGGGTTCCTGACGGACACTTCTTTTGTCTTGTTTGCCCGGCTGTGACACCTTTCAGGAGAATCGATCTTTTAACCTGGGATCTTCACCCTCTGAAAGTCCCCACAAGCTCCTTCCTCAGGAACTCTAGCCAGTTACAGGTACAAGCATTTTGATTCCCCCTCTTCTGCCTTTTGAATTAAATGGACCAGGTTAGCCAAAATAATTTAAAATTCTAATGGCCATTGAAGTAAAACTTTGTCTTAAGTCCACCGCCAGTCCCCCACCCTTAGGGAATTCTAAACCACAGGAGTGATGGAATTCATTCTTTGATTTGCATAAGCTTCTAAAAGACAAAGTAACTTTCAAAAGAGCTCTGAAAGAATCCCAAAAGAAATTTTCATCACCTGAGCAGAAAATTTCCTGCAAAGCAAGAATCTCCTGTAATAAGCTAACAAAAAAAACAAAAAAGCAAAACAAAACAAAACAACAAAATAATATGTGTGTGTGTGTGTGTGTGTGTGTGTGTGTGTGTGAAGTACCTAAAACAAAAGACTGTAAGACCAATGAGTTATTTACACTTTCTCTCCCACGGATAGCTTTGCCTGTGCCCTAAGGCTTGGCCTGACTTTTTGCCTGCCCGGCTGTTATCAAACAAAAAGAGTTCATCCACCCAGCACTAGCAGAACCCAACACTAGACACCGAGAATTGCTGTGGAGAAATATTGGTTATTTATTTGTGAATGACATCATTCAGGAGAACAGGAAGCTAATGCTCAAGCTTGAACTCCCCCATGCAATGTAGATTATAGATTATATAGGGTAAAAATCATAAGACATCGTGGGTTAGGGGTTTGGGAGTTGTTGGGAGCTGATTGGTCAGAGATGAGTAGAGGTAGTGAATCATTTCTTCGGGCCTTGAGGACAGTTCTAAGGTCTGTTTCAGTGTCCCTCCACTGGGAAGTAGGCAGAGGGTCGTTCCACCTTAGGGCTCAGGAAATGAAACATAACTTAGGTCACATGTTACCTCTAGCCTGCCAGGAGTCCTGACCATGGGACCATTACTGAGGTACAGGCCACTGGCTTTTGTGCCTCCGGGGTTGCTGATTATCAGGGGGAAAGGCCAGTTCTCCGAGGGCTGTAGAGAGTGAAAGAGAGGGTTTCCAGAGCTAGAATTAAAAACTAAATTTAATCAAAGTCATGAGGACCCTCTGTTTCACCAGGGTGGGCAGGCTGTGAGCGCTTCCTTTGGGCTCTCAGATGAAATGATTCAGAAAAATAATGACTTAGGCATTCTCTTGAGTCCGTGGAATTATTTAGCACTGCCTGAAATAGTTACTGCTTCTCACAGCTAAAATCTGACAAGGTATTTGAAAGGATTTGTTAACTTTTTGATCAGGAATCTGGCAAAGCTAGAAACTGAAAATTCAAAGCCTGATAGAAATTTTCTAAAGCCTCCTCAAAATTCAAATAAAACTGTGAATCCAAAGAGAAAGAAGCAAATTAAGATGTGGTTGGACGGGTAGATTGACTTACGAGGTCACTTATCTCACAACCCAATTCTCTGGGGAGCTGGGGCAATTTCCTTTGTCTTACAAATGTTTGCAAAACCAGAAATGCAGCTCTGGAAGCAGTTCCAAACCCACCAAGCTTCCCCATCCTCAATTCCTTAGACCAAAGAGGGAAAAAACCAAAGTTTTATTTTGTTTGTTTTGTTTTGTTAGCATAAACTGCTGCTCTGGCTGCAAGGCTCCTTGCCAAGGTCAAACACAAATCTTAATTATCCTTCCCACAAATGTTAATTTAAATATGCCTAGATCTGAATGAATATTCTGTGGCTGGTGTGGCTCAGTGGATTGAGTGCCGGCCTGTGAACCAAAGGGTCTGGGGTTGGAGTCCCAGCCAGGGCACATGCCTGGGTTGTGGGCCAGGTCCCCAGTAGGGGGTGGGTGGGAGGCAACCACACATCGATGTTTCCGCCTCTTTCTCCCTCCCTTCACCTTTCTCTAAAAAATAAATATGTAAGTAAATCTTTTTAAAAAATTCAGGTCATATGTCACCTTTGTGAACACATCCCTGATCAATACACCTATA